ACGTGCATCTCAGATATTGTCACAGAAGATGAAGGATCTTAGAAAGGACTCAACTTTGCTCCACAAATTAATTGGTTTTGAGGTGATTTTGTCTAAAGATGCAAAGCATCCAAGTGATCCTGCCACAGAATACTTCATACAAGCACACTCAACTGCTCGTTTCGAGATCGCCACAATTATATTGAATTAAAAGTATATTGTAGGCTTGAGTAGTATTGCATGATTTTACCGCATTGGTGTGTGTGTTGTACTATTTAATGTGTGTTCTGCAATACACTGATGATTAAACTTTTCTTTTTGTAAAAGATTAATCTATAAAGTTGTACTACTGATAACTTGATGACTGATGATGTTAAAGAGGGACTATCTTTAGGTGCTTTGAAGCGCTTATAAGATTGGTGGTAACCATTCCTGTTTATGGTAAAACGGGAATGACTTCTCTGATAATGATATCCTCCTCTTTAGCTTCCCTTATAATCTCTCTGCCTTAGTGTGGGAAACTATGGAACATATGGCGCTAGTAATTCTTTTTTTTTTTTGGATAAAAAAGGTCATTTCATTCAAATAAATTTGCACTAATGACAGAAAATACATTAAACAAATATGACACGGATACATATAGAGTTGAAATCAATAAATATAACAGATCTATATGTTAGTAATTCTTAGTCATAGCATGATGAAATCAGATCATTCTTGGAATCTAAATCCACGCATTGCTGCCCTTATGAATGATTTCAATCGCTTCGCAGTCATTTTGAGACTCGGAGTTCTCTTCAATTTCATAAATTAATCATGAAAATAACCTCTCAAGAAAGTTAAATCCAACTCTAATTAATAGGATTTCAACGTGTTTGCCTGAAAATTAAACTAACAACAACGCTAATTAATTCTGCTAAAAACTAAACAACGCTAATTAATTCCGCTAAAAACTAAGTAAAGTCCAACAAAAATTCAATTCTAAATCCAATGCCACCACATTAAGGCACTTGCAATTATATAATTAGTGTGCTGTTGCATCTTTTTGGACATTATGTGTTCATGTTATGCACTTAGGAGGAGCATTAATAGACAAATCATATTAAATTGAAATTAGAGTTTCAGCAACAACAAAAGCAGCAAAAAATAAACACTCGTCTCCACACGTATATACCGTCACACAAAAACAATGGATATAATTATGAACTTTCAGAAAAACTGAAACCAGAACAAGAATTAGGGATTCAAACACTATTAAATCCTCTGAGCATTCCTTCAATTCAACATGCAATTTACATCAAATTGAAAAGGCGAAAACATAAAAATTCATTGAACTGGTCAAGAATTTTTAGTTATTAACCAAAAGAGTAAAACTTTTTTTTTTTAAACTTGAAAAGAGTAAGAAAAATCAATTTGATAGCAGCAGTTAACGTTTCGAAATATAAATTTAAACTTTCAAAGTCTAACCAGAAAGCATATACTCATGAACTTGTGAGTGCCTGCTGACTATTATGCTATTACAATTTCTGTTTAATGCGAAATAATGCAGAGAAAAGGATGATTCGGCTCAATTGCATAAACCTAGGAACAGCAGTCGAATGTAACCCAACCTGCTTTTTGTCGAAATAAACCTGGGATGCAGCATATACAAGCTTGAAGATTTCTTGTTACCTTCCATTGTCCTTTTCTTCAAAACCCAAGTAATTTTCTTCCAATCAGAATCAAATTTCTCTCGAACTCTAAGCTGTTCAGCAATTTTGATAAAAGAAAATGAAAGACAAAGTATGAGCCAAAAAGAGGCCACCATTAGATTTGAAGGCAGGTTCAGAACTCCAAGGGAAAGGGAATAGCCTGTAAAAGGCATTTTTGTCCAAAAATATTTTAGTTTTTCGTGGATTACATTTTTCAATTATCTTTTTATTTTACGTATATCAAATCACTATAATACAAATTTTTTTTTTTACAAAACTCCAGAAAATAACAATCCAAACAGCCTCTAAAAGTCCACTCACCAAATTTTCAGGTGCACCTAAACTGACCACAAGCATTTTTTTCATGTACAACGTATGTGCATGGGGAAAACACCCAAAAAAGATTTGTGCCAACAATCCATCTCCGTTTTAAAATAAAAAATGGGAAAAATGGTGGGCAAGTGTAATATGGTGAAAAAGAATAGATGTTTCTCAACAAAATCAGATTGTTGTTGGAGGTCAAAGATTGTCACCGAAAACCTCAAATCCAGAAAGGCCCCAAAAGCAATATTCATCATGTAACATTGTAACTCTCTCATTTATAAGTTAACAAATGATAGCTTATGCCAAAAAAGAAAAAAAATCTTATGCATTTTTTTTTCTTTTCAAGAGAAAAAAATGTAAAACCAGGATTAGAATTTAGAATTCAAACATAATTAAGAGTTTTAATCATTGCTTACATTCAACAAGAGAAAAAAATGAAAAGCCAGGACTAGAATTTAGAATTCAAGCATAATTAAGAGTTTTAATCATTGCTTACATTCAACAAGCAATTTACATGAAAGTGACAAGGCCAAATGCCAAAAGAAAAAAAATTCATTAAACGGATAAAGAATTTTTAGTTATCATTGCCTACTGGATAAACTAATATGACTCATTCTTTAAAAAAAAAAAATTTTTGTCGGGAAGTAGCCGTTAAGGTCTCAATATAGGAATTCAAAATTTTCACAATGTAACACATTTGTGAGCCTGTGCTGGCATTTTTGCGGGATCTCTGAATTAGAAATCATGAATTAGAAATATTTTTCATCAATTTCTTCCACTCTTAACTTGTATCAGGTTAGGGCCAAAAAATAAAAAAATGGGATAATTTCAGAAACCTCCCCTGAGTTTTTTGATAATTTCATGTGGCTCCCTTAAGGTTTCAAAAATTACACCTACCTCCCTTACCCATTTAAAATGACAATACTAACCTTAATATTTTAATAAAACTCTCTTGTTTCCATGTCTATACAAAGGATGGATTTTTATAGTTTTTTCTTTTTCCTTCTTATTCATTTCTCTTATATTTCATTAGAAGTATAAAAGAACTATTGATATTGTCACTAATATCTATTCAGGTCAAACGTTAAACTAGTATTTTTTATGACTTTTAATATTATCCAATTCTTTTATAGCTCTTTTTTTTATATCAAAATGAAGAATAAATCAACAATAATTAAAAACAAATGGCTCAAAATCACTACCAAACTATGGTAGTTCCATCACTAAACTAGTCCATAAACTTTTATTAAAAAAAGTCCATAAATTTTAAAAACACAAGGTAATACTTTCTTCTCTATCTTAAAAAGAATCTATATTCCCAATAAAGCACTATAAAAAATAATTTATCATAGCAAAAGATTTATTATTATAGTTAATTATTAAATAACAAATGTTGACTTGACAAACTTGTGACTCCTATTTTTTATATAATTGTGTCAAATTACTTTACAATTGTTTAGAAGAATGAATTGAACTTTATAAGATAAAGGCATTTTAGGATATTTATTAAATTTTTTACCTTATTTTAAGGTTTGGTTAGCGAAGTGTCAAATCAATGGAGGTAAGTGTAATTATAAAAACTTCAAGGGAACTAAGTGAAATAGTCAGAAACCTCTGGGGAGGTTTCTGAAATTATCCCTAAAAAATTTATATAAATAGCATGACTAATTAAATTTGGTCTTGACTTTCAAGTATATTAAGGATCCACTCATGCACCATTTACTCTTTCTCCCATTCCCAAACAATTCACATCTCCCTGAGCCCACCCCCTGCCGCCGCTCGTCATAAGTCTGCAGGTATTCATCCTCTTCTACATGGGAATTTTTCTTAAGGAAAGAGATTAATCACAAAAAAGAAATATCCAGTCTGGCATTGGATTGCAGGTATTCATCCTCGATTGTACTTAGGTTGCCTGCATGCCATTCCCATTTGGTAAGATTAGAATTGATTTTTAGGATTTTATCTTGATTGTTTAGGGGTTACAGACTTATATGACAAAATCCTAATTCACATAAGTTGTGCATGTATTGGATTTCGATTGAAATCCAATTCCCACTGTTTGAAATACATTTCTGCGCATGATTTTTTCATAGGATCTATTTATCTTCATCTGTTTGTGATTGTTTCTGCACATGATTTCTTATAGGATCTATTTATCTTCATCTGTTATGTTGATGTTTGTTATGTTGATCATCGTGGCAGAGAATCATGGTTTTGCTAAATTAAGACTCCTGTTTCATTTCTTCAAACACATTTTTTAAGCCAAGTTTACTTGTTCATTTTTTTCCCTCCATTTTTTCCCCTGTCATCATGTTGTAATCTGTAACTGTACCTGTACTAGTATAATTCTCGGTGTTGTTTTGGGAGTTTCACCGCAAAAGAATTGAAGAGGAGAAATGGAGGGATTTCTAAAGATCCTTTGTTAGAGAATAAATAATTTATTTGTTTATTTTTGTCGAGCCTTTGAAAAATGCGGGAAAAAAGATCGTTAGTTTAAACTTGCTGATTTCCCAACTTTGCCCTTGCGGAACTATTAGAATATGGCACAAAATAAAGAGAAAAACCAGTAACTTCTTTTCTTTTCACGGCCAAAATAACGAAAGGAACTTGAATTTGTTCTCTATCCTAAAGGACCTAAGCTCCCAACTAGATGAATTTTGATTAGATGGGAAGGGGAAATGCACAATTAACAAAACCAACAAATGAATAGTGGTATAGATTGACATCTAATGACGTAGTTTTTCTAATTTTTGAATGATCATAAATAATTGTAAAAAATCAGTTTACATTCTTGAAAAATGACTAGTGATAAGGGCACACCCAATGTGTGTAATTTAGGAACAATCATTTTTTATATGAAAGAATTTAGTATAGAATTTTCATAAACAAAAAAAATAAACTTCAATCGTTTAAAAATTTTTTGAATGGAATTTTAATTAATTTGGTGGTTACAATATTTGTAAATTGTTATGGGTGAAAGTTAGTGCGATTGCATTGGTTGGTAATATGGGTAATACGTAATTAGATGGTAAAGTTATAATTTAATGATTGTGAAAAGTTAAAAATCTAAAAAGTGATAAAAAAAGTTTACAGCAAATTCAATGCTCTTCCTTTATACATAATATATAGTATAGATAGATAGTTTCGGCGTTTACACGATTATCCAAGTCGTAATTGTGCCATTCTACACTACTATTCCGACTAGATGTGAATAATTTTATTTTTTAGAACACTTTTCTTGATTTGATTTCAACTTTGCTTTTTTTTTTTGAAGAAAAAAAAAGTATATCTAAACTTGAATTTTGAAGATCTTATTCTAACGTTATTCTTACTAATGCAGGAAGTGTTACTAAGGTTTCTTTTGATATTTGTCCATCATGGAACCAGGTAGTCTTTACGAATTCACTAAGTTCTTCAATCAGTACCCTTAGACACGGACTACTAATGGACTCTCATTAATTTCATTTTGTTGGTCATTGACAGGGAACGAGGTGCAACCTAAGACAAGTCGGAAGGATGCGAACCTCAATCATTTCTCCTGACTGTCGGATTCTATCTTTTATCACATCTATTCGTTTTTGCCCACCTGAGATGTTGCCTGTACCTCCATCTTGTCCAAGTCTTGGTATCGTATCTGGACCCTTTATTCATTTGTTGTCTACCATTTTATCTGCACTATGTGGGGCCAGGAAGAAGAACAAGAAGAAAAAGGAGTAGGACGGGTTCAAGAATGTGGTAGAGAGGTTCCTGGTCCAATGTTTGAATGTACTGGCAGCGGCAATAGAAAGGACGATTTCCTGTCGATGGCAGGAAAATTCATCAGACAGCGCTTTATAGAAAACTTAAATATACAGAGATTCCAATTGTACATTGACTTCCCTAAGATGGGCTCACTGGCTCGAAGATTGGATATATGGATTGATTATGCAATGATGAGGGCTGTGCCGGAGCTTGTTCTTCGCATTGACTGCTTAACCAGTGATACACATGTTGGTCATCGCATTAAAGCTTTATCAAGTCGTCAAAGGCTCCATTATGCTATACCTCAATTTGCTGTTGAAACTAGGTGACTAAAAATTTTGGGGTTGAGTGGCTGTAGATATGCGACTTGTTTGAACATCAAACTTCCCCAGCTGCTTTGATGATAAGTCTCTATTGGAAATGTTTCTCCTTGGATGCCCACTGGTTGAGTATGTGAAAATATCATGCTGCAATTGGATGGACAAACTTCTCTCTGTCTCGAACTTACCTGAATTGAAGCATTTTGAGTGTTTGTTCTGTGATATGGTTGATATTATTCAAATCAATGCAGTTAAGCTTCGTACTTTCTCGTTTGCGACATTGAAGGAAGTCAAAGAACTTTGGCCAATGACCATTGACTGGACAGCCTGTGCTACAGCACTAAAGGAGTTGAAAATATATGCGAATGGTGCCGCTGACATTGATATGTTAGAGACACCGATATCTCAGCTTCGCTTTCTTGAAACATTGGATATACGCGGCTGCAAAAGTTATACAGGTTTCAAGATCGCAAACCAAACTTTTAAGAGATTGATCTTTAGAGATTGTAGTCACATGTCAGCTACTCAACTTGATGCTCCAAAGTTAGAGTTGTTTGAATTCAACAACTGCGATAAACCTTTTCTTCCTTGCAATGCCTCAAATAAACTTCAGATTAACTTTAGTTTGTTCTTTAGAGGACATTCAATTGAGTGGCTTTTGCGATTGAAGTATTTTCTCAGGACGTTAAAGCATTGGGAAGATTTGAAACTGATCGTCTATCCTGAACATCAAGTACTACACTTCTTTCTTAACCACTTAGCTAAGGTTTTATGAATTTTTTTTTTGTTGCTTTACCTGGTTAGAGAGTTATATGTGATGTTATTCGACAATAGACGTAAAAATCTTGAAATTATTTACTCCCCTTGTCACGCCCCGAGCCCGCACGTGCCAGTCACGTGATATCCCCGTATCTTCAAGTCTCGCTCAAGAATACAAGGCAATATTATACTATACTAAACTTTAAAAGTATTAAATAATACAACTAAATAAAGTGCGGTACAAATCTCATATGAAAGATAGTCTTCGAATATCTAATAAGTTCGTACATTTATTCTCTAGTTGAAACAGCGAAAACAAAAGTAAATAAAACTAACAACTAGAAGTAGCTAGGTTGGTAACTTCTGTTCACTTAGAAACTCATAAAAGTCGTCCTCAAGGTCTTCTACGTAAATCAACTCATACTCTTTAGAATCTACAAAGATGGCAAAAAGTGGGTTGAGCGACAAGTCGCTCAGTAGGTAATATCTACTCCTCTGTTGGACCATGCATTCATAACTTTATAAGTACATACACACACACACACACACACACATATATAAATCAAATCATTTGCACACCGTTCACATCCATAATCATGAAAGTAATGTTGTTTATAAAACAAATAGTAGTAACGAGTGACAAGCAATTTAAAAGCATCTTATTGATAACTACATATGAAAAATCATAAAGTCATCATTTCATATCAATTCATAAGTCTTTTCATATCAGTTCATAAATCATTTCATATCAACTCATACAAATACATGTATTGACCGGCTACTGAGTATTCAACCTAGAGATTAAACCCTTTTAGGTGGGCGACCAATAGGTTTCATGACTACCGATTGGTCTCATTACATACATGGTTAATCGGCCGGACTTTATACCAGACTACCATGACCTTGTCAATCGGCCGAATTCTATACCAGACTACCATGACTATTAGACAGGACTATAGCCCCTACCGTCTATTCTATGACTGTTTTGAGTTTTTTTTTAATATAAATTCATTTCACACGTCACACGCACAGTTCTTGATTTCATAAAAGATACCGCTCATTTGGTATATAATAACATATCAAGAAATTTCAAATAAGTCACATGGTCCATTTTTTTGTATAGTCAAAATAGAACTTGCTCAAACAGTCAAGTAAATCATTTAATCAAAAACAATTCAGATTAACACGTAAAAATATAATCGATGACAAAAATTTTACTTTAAACTTTTGAAATCTCAGAAAGGTAAGTACCACCTACCTTTGTCTGGCTGCTCGAGTAGAACTACCTTAGCCTTTTAAACTTGTGTCGTACAGGTCTAGGCACTTAGTTGTCTGCTTGTTCGATGACAACGTCTTCTCCTTCTCCTCTATTCTTAGTCGATTCTTGCTCTAAGGGAGGCAGACAAAAGAAAGGTAGGAATAATATTATTTTTCTCTCTATTGTTTTGATAAAAATCCTAAACCCTAGCACTTCCCACTAGAAGGTGGTTTAGATAAGAGTTTTAGTTTATTTTGAACTCTTATCCTACCTTATCTCCTTACTAATCCTAATTACCCCTCTACCCTATCCTACTAATAAATTTATATTATTATTTTTTTTCACCCATAGTAATTTGGCCTTTTTAATTAATTGAGCAAAATAAACTAAAAAAATGGGTAAGGACGTGGGACGTGGGTTTTTGCATTCTACCCCCCTCACCAAAAGTTTCGTCCTTGAAACTTACGTACCTTGATAAAAAAGATAGGGGTATCAATTTCGCATGTCCTTCTCCAACTCCCACGTTGCCTCTTACGGTGTATGATTCGTCCATTGCACCTTGACGTAGGGTATAGTCCTTCTCCTTAAAACTTGGTCCTTCCGATCCACGATTCTTAAAGGAACTTCCTCCACTGATAAGTTCTCCCTCACCTCGATGGGTTGATCCTCTAAAATATAGCTCGGATCCGATACATACTTCATCAGTTGGGAGACATGAAAAACATTATGTATCATTGACAAAACAGGTGGGAGAGCCAATCGATACGCTAGAGGTCAAACTCTATCTAGTATTTCGTAAGGCCCTACATACCTCGGATTTACTTGCCACTTCTTCCAAATCTCATCACTCCCTTGGTAGGGGATACTTTCAAATATATCTTTTTTCCCGGTTGAAATGCTAAAGGTCTCCTCTTGGAATCCACCCAACTCTTGTTTCGGTCCTAAACTACTTTTAATCTTCCTCGAATAATCTTAATTTTCTCCAAAGTTCTTTCTACCAAATCGGAGCCAGTGATCAGCTTCTCACTTACTTCATCCCAATATAAGGGGGATCTACACTTTCATCCATACAACGCTTCAAACGATACCATACCTATATCACTATGATATCTATTATTATACGAGAACTCCATTAGTTTCACCAACCTATCCCAACTATTCGAGAAGTCTAGAGCACAAGCTCTGAGCATGTCTTCCAGTGTTTGTATGGTCCTTTCCGATTGTCCATCCGTTTGAGGTTGGTAGGTGGTACTTAATCTCAGGTCAGTCCCCATAACTTCTTGATAGGTCGACAAAAATCTAGACGTGAATCTAGGGTCTCGATTAAACACTATACTTACTAGAACACCATGAAAACATACGATTTCCTCCATATACATCTCTACCAACCTCTCCATTGTTACCCCATTTGACATTGGTAGAAAGTGGACAGATTTGGTTAGCCGATCGACCATAACCAAATGCCATCGTTATTCCTAATCGTTCGAGACAATCCTACCACAAAATCCATTGCCACATATTCCCACTTCCATTGGAAAATTTCCAGGGGTTGTAATAAGCCTGTAGGTCTTTGATGCTCGGCATTTACTTGTTGGCATACCAGATATTTCGCTACATATTTTGCTATTTCTCGTTTCATCCCATTCCACCAATAATTCCTCTTCAAATCTTGGTATATTTTAGTCCCACCAGGGTGAATTGAGAATCTCGAATTGTGTGCCTCATTTAGGAATTCCTGCGTCAATTCTTCATTTCTTGGCACACATAATCTACCATCTTTCTATAAACTCCCATCGTCTTTCAATTCTCTATCGAAAGGTTCCACTCTAAGTTTTTCTTTAATTCTTGCAAACCCATAATCAGAATGTCGTGCTTCTTTAATCCTATCTATTAAAGTAGATGTGACCACTAAGGCAGCTAACATTTGAATCGTAGAATCCACCATTTTCACTTCAAAATTCTTCATTTGATCCTTTACCGTGGGTTCTCTTAATACTCTTGACTTCTTATTAAGGGCGTCTAGTACCTTATTTGCCTTACCCGGATGGTAACTGATTGTCAAATCATAATCCTTAATTAATTCTAATCTCTTTCTCTGCCTCATGTTAAATTTTTTTTTGAGTAAATTGATACTTGAGATTCTTGTGATCGGTGAAAATCTCACATTGCACGCCATATAAGTAATACCTCCATATTTTCAACGCAAACACTATTGCCGTCAATTCCAAATCATGTGTGGGATAATTCTGCGCGTACAGTTTTAGTTGGCGAGAAGTATAAATAATTACTCTCCTATTTTGCATCAAAACGCATTCTAAACCATTTTTAAAGGCATCACTATAAATCACAAATCTTTCCGTTCCAGAGGGTAGGGTAAATATTGGAGCTGACACTAGTTTCTTCTGTAACTTCTGGAAACTCGCTTCACATTTATCTGTCCATTCAAATTTTGCTCTCTTTTGAGTCAACCTACTAAGAGGCATAGCAATGATAGAGAATCCTTCTACAAATTTTCGATAATAGCCGGCCAATCCTAAGAAACTCCTCACATCGGTTACATTAGTGGGCCGTGGCCAGTCTACAATTGCTTTCACATTCTTTAGATCAGCGGACACCCCTTGAACTGATATCACATGTCCTAAGAAGGCCACACTCTTCAACCAAAATTTACATTTACTAGACTTAGCGTACAATTTTTTTTTTCTTAGTATCTCTAGAACTTCCTTAAGATGGGCAGCATGAGTTTCTTCATTTGGGAAGCACACTAAAATGTCATCAATTAACACCACCATAAAATGGTCTAATTACAGTTTGAATAACGATTCATCATATCTGTAAAGGCTGTCGGAGCATTGGTTAATCCAAAGGGCATCACCAAAAACTCAAAGTGCTCGTATCTCGTACGAAATGCACTTTTTTGGATGTCTTCGGTTTTAATCTTTAATTGATGGTATCCAGATCTCAAATCTATTTTAGAGAATACTTTAACTCCCTTCAATTGGTCAAAAAGATAATCTATCCTTGGAAGGGGGTATTTGTTCTTTATTATGGTTCGATTCAACTCCCTATAATCGATACACAACTTCAGGTTACCATCCTTTTTTTTACAAAGAATACTGGTGCATCCCAAGGGGAAACACTAGGTCTAATGAACTTCTTATCTAGTAATACCTGTAATTACTCCTTAAGTTTCTTTAATTCTGCAGGCGTCATTCTATAGCGATCCTTAGTATAGGAGTCGCCTCAGGTCATTCTGAAGACATCTCCTCTTTTCCCGTGTCTATAACATAAGTCAAATATGCCTCACACCCTTTTCTTATTGCCCTATACATCTGCATGGCAGATAGAAGAGGTAACTTACGAATTTTCTTGTCACCAACAATTCCTTGATAAGAGAAATCCTTCTCGTTTGATTTCATGAATAACACCCTCTTCTTTCTACAATCAATTTGTGCAAAATGTCTAGCTAGCCAATCCATTCGTAGGATAACATCAAAATCACTCATATTTATTTGTCCTAGATCTACTTTTAATCTCCTATCGTCCAATTTCACACTACAGTTTGGATATCCAGTATGAGACACTAGGATTCTATTTCTTGGAACAACCACTTGGTAGGGGTGGTCCGTCCATTTAGGAGACATGCACAAGTACTTTGTAAAAGTGTGACTAACTCCACAATCAAATAGCACGTATGCAGACACAGAATTAATTAGAAGAGTACCTATAACCACGTCGCCTGCCATCTCCGCCCCAAC